AATTTTTTGACCTGTTTTTCTCATTCTTCTTTGTTTTTCAGTTAGTTCAGCATCAGATTGCCAGCTTAATTCTGAACAGATGATACATGCAAAAGCACTTTGCAAACCCTGGGAAATTGCTAATCATACATAAATTATCATCGTTATTTCCATGAAAGTCGCTCAGTTGTGTCCAACTCCTTGTGACCCCATGGGCTGTAGCCTGCCAGGCTCCTCTGTCCATAGAATTCTTCAGGCAAGAATACTGGAGTGGGTAGCCATTCCCTACTCCAGAGGATCTTCCTGACCCGGGAATTGAACCGGAATCTCCTGCATTGCTGATGGATTCTTTACCATCTGAGCTACCAGGGAAGAGGGAGATAAAAACGATGCACTCTATGGCTTTATTTTGTTCATGTGCTTCCACCTTATAATCTTTAAGAATTCTGAAGAACAGTGTACCACTGCTCTGCTTATTAATTCACTGTCTCTCAGCTTCAAACGTACTCATGTACTTGGCCGTCATGCTGGGTTAGCCGCTGCAAACCTTCTCCCTTGGCGAGTCACGCCTTGTGCGGCTCTGCCGGTAGAGGACACTAGGGAGACGCCACACTTGCCCAGCGTCCTCTACGTTTCTTCACCCCCACAGCTCAGCCTGTTTCAGCAGCAGTTGGCGCAAGTTTTCCCAGTGCTCCCAGAACCAGCTTCAAAAGCCTCTTCAAGACACCAGCACTCATCAGCTTGGAATCTCCTCCGTCTCCCAGCTCTGGCCCCTTCCTTCCAGCTTCCAGGTGATCATCACAAATTCTTCCCCATGTTTGCACAGAAATAGGGGCGGTGGTTGATTCCTGTACCTACTGTTCCAAGGACACCTGGGGTCCTTTTGCTACTTTTCAGTGAATAAATCTTCATGTTAAATTATTTCCATTAAAATTACTGCTGTTGGGTTTCCCTAGTGGCTCAGTGGTAAAGAATCCACCTGCTAATGCAAGAGATGCAAGTTCGACCCTTGGGTCAGGAAGATCCCCTGGAGGAGGAAATGGCAACCCACTCCAGTATTCTTGCCTGGAGAATCCCATGGACAGAGGAGCCTGGCGGGCTACAGCTACACAACTTAGCAACTAAATCACCACCAATATCAACTGTATAATATGCTGGACAGGACTATCCTTGTGGTCCAGTGGTTAAGAGTGCTCCTACCAATGCAGGGGACACAGGTTCAATCCCTGGTCTGGGAAGATCCCACATGCTGTGAGCAACTAAATCCCTGAGCTACAACTACTGAGCCCATGCCCTAGAGCCTGTGCCCATGAACAAGAGAAGCCACCACATCAAAATGAAGAGTAGTGCCCACTGGCTGCAACTAGAGAAAGCGTGCACACAACAAAGACCCAGCACAACCAAAAATAAAAATAAAAATTTTAAATGCTGGACGGAATAAGATCAATGCTTTCGGCAACCTTGCTTCCATTTCTTCAAGTAACATTGAGGTCCTGTTGTATACTCACCCCCTGCTGTCAAAAACATTTTGTTTTTAATCTAACTCTAATATAAAGCAGAATAAAAAGCAGCAAATTGACTACTCAAGATATTTTCCAACACTCTAAGTTTGCTATCATTAATGACACCACGAATACTGAAGAATTTTTGCATCTTTGAAGATACTTAATCAAATCTATTTGTGGGTTTAACACTATTTTAATATGAATACAATCCCCAATCCTTCTTTATTCTTGTTTGAAGATTTTTAATAGTGAAACATTCTACATACATGTAAATGTACAGCTTAATAAATTTCTATAAAATGAATATCTATGTAGCTAGCATTAAGTAAGGAAATATAATCTCAAATTGGCAACATGGTTGTCTGTGGAGGCCTTATAAATAGCTGAGAAAAGAAGAGAAGCAAAAGGCAAAGGAGAAAAGGAAAGAGATACCCATCTGAATGCAGAGTTCCAAAGAACAGCAAGGAGAGGGAAGAAAGAATTTTTAAGTGAACAATTCAAAGAAATAGAGAAACTATACTTAATATTTTATAATAACATATAATGGAAAATAATCTAAAAGAGACTATAAATGTCTATATATATGGAGATGTACAGATGTATATAAACATATATGATATATATATGTGTGTGTGTATATATAACTGAATCACTTTGCTGTACACTTGAAAGGAACACAACATTGTAAATCAACTAAACTTCAAAAGAATTCATTAAAAAAAAATGGCACTGTGGAGGGGTTGTCTGGTGGTCCGGTGGTTAAGAATTCACCTTGCAATACAAGGGACACGGGTTCGATCTCTGATCTGAGAAGATCCCACATGCTGCAGAACAACTAGGCCAGTGTGCTATAACTACTGGGCCGGCGGCGGCACTCTAGAGCCTGAGAGCCGAAACTTCTGAAGCCTTTGCGCCTAGAGCCTGTGCTCCGCCAAGAGAAGCCACAGCAATGAGAAGTCTGCGCACCCGTAACAGAGTAGCCCCCACTTATAGCAACTAGAGAATGCCCATGTGCAGCACAAAGACCCACCACAGCCAAAAAATAAATAAGCAAATCTTCTTTAAATGCCACTGTTAAAAAAAATTATTTCCAAATCAGTCAGAGGCCTCTTTGTCAGCTCCAACTATATTTATTTCAATAAAATACAAGAATGTGGGAGGAAGGAAGTTACTTTAAGTTTTTGTAATGCAATTTGACCAGCAAATAATAAATCACTGTTGAACTAAAAGTCAAAGGTGACAGAAAATAGCTATTTTTAAAAATAATAATAGCATCAACCACAAGCATATGAAACAAAACTAGGATGTAGCTTTTATCTAGTCAACCATACATTCCTAACTCATAATCAAATCAAACAAACCAAGCAGTGTTGTAGGGTTCAATTATTTTACCATAGTAAAGGTTATATTTCCCTTGTCAAAAAAAATCTAACTCTAATAAAAAGCAGAATAAAAATAGCAAAATTGAATACTAATGATGTTTTCCAATTCTCTGTGTTTCCTATCATTAATGAGGCAACTGGTATTGAAGATTTCTTGTATCTTTGAAGACAGTTATCCAAATCTATTTGTGGTTTTAATTCTGTGTTAATATGAATATAATTCCCAATACTTCCTTTCTTCACTCTTCTTTGAAGATTTTTTAAATAGTGAAGTATTCTACACATACATGTGTATAGCTTAATGAATTGTTCTAAAATGAATATCTATATAACCAGCATTAAAAGTCAGAAAATACAATCTGAAAGGCACTCTATCCCCAAGTCTCCACCCTGCCCTGCCCACCAGAACTGACCACAATCCTAAGTTTATGAGATTTACTTCTTTTTTTATAGTTTTCTTCACTAAATATCCCTGGAGAAGGAAATGGCAATCCACTCCAGTAGTCTTGCCTGGAAAATTCCATGGATGGAGAAGCCTGGTGGGCTATAGTCCATGGGGTCGCAAAGAGTCAGACACTTTGTTTTCCTTCACTTTCTTTTTCTTTTCCACTAAGTATGTATCCATAAACATAATGCAGTTCAATTTTGTCTTTTAAAGCTATTTATGTACAAAATCATACAATGTATTGGGGTGTTTTTTAACTCAATATTGTATTCTAATATGTCTCTGTTTTATTGCATGCAGTTGCATTTCATTAATTTTTGCTCTTGTATAGTATGTCAGTATATGAAATCAGTTCAGTTCAGTTGCTCAGTCGTGTCCAACTCTTTGCGACCCTATGAACTGCAGCATGCTGGGCCTCCCTGTCCATCACCAACCCCCAGAGTTTACTCAAGCTCATTTTCATTGAGTTGGTGATGCCATCTAACCATCTCATCCTCTGTCGTCCCCTTCCCCTCCTGCTTTCAATCTTTCCCAGCATCAAGGTCTTTTTCAATGAGTCAGTTCTTCATATCAAGTGGCAAAAGTATTGGAGTTTCAGCTTCAGCATCAGTCCTTCCAATGAATATTCAGGACTGATTTCAATTAGGATGGACTGGTTGGATCTCCTTGCTGTCCAAGGGACTCTCAAGAGTCTTCTCCAACACCACAGTTCAAAAGCATCAATTCTTTGGCGCTCAGCTTTCCTCACAGTCCAACTCTCACATTCATACATGACTACTGGAAAAACCACAGCTTTGATTAGACAGACCTTTGCTGGCAAAATAATGTCTCCGCTGTCTAGGTTGGTCATAACTTTTCTTCTAAGGAGCAAGCCTCTTTTAATGTCATGGCTGCAGTCACCATCTGCAATGATTTGGGAAATACTACAATTAAATTAACTATTCAACTGTTGATGGACATTTCAGTTATTTCCAGTATGGGTGCACATAAGCATACACAGGTGGGGGGTAAACACCTAAAAAATGAAATTGCTCAATCACAGGGTGTACACATCCAAGCTAATGTGAAGCCATTTTCCAAATTATCTGCACGAACTCACACTCCTGTCTGCAGTATATGAGGGATCTTTGCCCTACCATCCTTCCCAACCCTGGGTGCTGTCAAGGGTGTTTGCCCACGTGGTGAGTGTGGATGGTATCCACAGTGGCTTTACTTTATCCTCTTCTGATTATTAACCTTTTCCATCCACAACACAAAGTTATTGGCCACTGGATTTCTTCTGTGAAATTTCTGTTAAGTCATCTGCCCATTTTTAAGTGGATTCTTTGCTTTCTTAATTTACAGGAGTTCTTTACATATCCCCTTCTCATTCGATGGCCTGTCTTTCCTTGCTTTTCAACTTTGGAAAAGCCAGTATGGGCTGCGAGCGGCTTCATTGGAGCTCCCGGGATCCTGGGAGCTGTGCCCTAGACGCGGTCATCACAACGCTTCCCACTCTTTCCACCTGGACTGACTAGACGCGGCACTGTGTAACGCGGATGCCGGGATGGACAGCACAGGCCCCGCCCTCTCGCTGAGGCCCCGCCCACAGCCGGGCGGCCTGAGTCGCGCGGGGCTGATTCTGTTGGCCCCGGTCTCCAGGGCAGCGCTGGGAGACGCAGGGCGGGACGGGAGGCGCCAGCACTGAGGATGCGAGGCCTCCAGGGTCGCGGCAGCCAGGAACGCCCGGCAGGTGACAGGCGTTTGACTCCCAAACAGGGTGTGCGGTGCGCCCGAGCAGGGATTGGGGTGGACGGTGGGACCGTGGATGGGGACAGGAGAAAACCTCTCGAGGAAATTGGTCCAGGTGGGGAGAAAAAGGAGCCCACAGCGGGAGCACTTGGGACCCAGATGGGAAGGACAGATTGTGACCGAGGCGGGGACGGAGCCCAGGGGCCGGTGCTCGGGATCTGGAAAGACTTTGGCGCCCAGACTCCCAGAACAGCCCTATCCTGGGTTGATCAGGCCGGTCCGGGGCATCAGACCCACCAGATCACTCATCACTTCCTGGGCCTTAAAATGCCCGTGGCTGCCGAGTCTTGTCCATCAGAGAATAGGCGGGGGAAGGAAATAAACGCCACGCCCCTTTGGGCAGCTTAGGACTTGTTCCAAAACAGCGTAACTTTTCCTCTGCAGTCGTCTTGGTGGATGAACCCTTAAAGCAGGGCTACATTTCACAGAAGAAAATGTGTTCTTCCTAGTACTAATGTAATGGGCTGGACCCAAGGATCTTGACGGGACCCCTTGGGAATGAGCGGTTTCTTGTTGCCACTGGTTTATCCCTGTCTGTCTTATTTACTTAGGAGACGTGTAAGCCTGTGTCTGAAATTTCAGTGAAAAACTTTGTGCCAGTAGGGAGCCACATTCACTGCATTTAGAAGTCCCACTTGCTAATTTTTTTTTTTTTCAGTCATCAGCTTTTCCTTTTTTAATCCCATGCTTTTATAAAATCACACCTCCACAGATGACCCAACTTGGATGGTATCTGGCTTTTGCTCCCTTCATTATCTCCCAAACATCAACAACAAAAATTCTATCTTTTTCTATGAACATTTTTAATTGATTAACTCCAAGAAACCCTAGTCTATGTCATTTAAGAAACGAAGAGAAATAGAAGGGACTGAATTATTTCATGCAGGAGCAGTTCCTGCTTTTTTAAGCAGGGAGCTTTTTTAAGATCCCAAGTACAGTGACTTGAACTCTTAAAGATGTATTATTACAAACTGTTTTGGTTAAAATGTGTTAGTATTTGAGGGATCTGCTGCTTTCTAAAAATATCCTAAAAGCGAAGGTTGATCCATTTATCAAAATTAAAATAATATGGTAGAATGAAATATATATTTTTAAAATAAGGCAATTAATACAAACAGTTTGACAAATAATATGTTAGTCTACCAAGAGGGGGGAACTTTAAGTTAAAAATAAAACCATAGATATTTAAATATCATATGTATTTCAATATGAATGTTACCTTTGGTCTCTCTTGTTTGTTAAGGTGCTTTCCTCCAAGGAGTTGAGGATGTTCCATAGAAACGTTAGCAACAAGGTCAACTGGGACTAAAAAGAAGGTCGTGTTATTTAATTAAAGAAAGGATTTGTCAAAAGAATAGGAGTAGACCATTAAAACAAATTTTACAGTAATCTCTGATCAGAGAGGTTGTTTCTGTTATCTGACCTACAGGGGAAAAAATGGCATAAAGGCAGTGAGATAGAAGACAGAGCAAACAGAAATGCCAGCTAGAGATGAAAGGAAGCACAATCCAAAAACATCATTTCCTTTCAATTGTATCTGAACTCAAAGCACCCTTTCCGTAAACCATCTCATGGGTCTTTATGACAGCCCTTTGAGACAGGGAGGGCTCACTTGGAATCATACTCTTAAGTGAGTTAGAAGGGACCCCAGCTGTTATTCAGGCCAATCTTCCACCCAGCCAACATTCCCCAGGACAGCATCCCTTTCAGGTCCATGTGGATACCCAGCCTCTGCTTTGAATCACTGAATGGCAGAATTCACAAGGCCATCAAATCTTTTGTTGAACAGTTTTGATCATTATTATGGGCTTTTTATTAATACTGAGCTGAAGTTGATCTCCATGTTGCTGCTGCTGCTGCTAAGTTACTTCAGTTGTGTCCGACTCTGCGACCCTGTAGATGGCAGCCCACCAGGCTCCGCCATCCCTTGGATTCTCCAGGCAAGAACACTGGAGTGGGTTGCCCTTTCCTGCTCCAATGCATGAAAATGAAAAGTAAAAGTGAAGTTGCTCAGGCGTGTCCGACTCTTCATGACCCCATGGACCACAGCCTACCAGGCTCCTCCGTCCATGGGATTGTCCAGGCAAGAGTACTCGAGTGGGCTGCCATTGCCTTCTCCAGGTTACATCCACCTAAATTATATATTCCTACCTGGTAGCAACCTGGATATCAAAGTCTTTCAAATGAAAAGTCAGCCAGTATAGGTCTAGGAACAAACTAGCTTCCATCATCTTTTCAGTTCCAACTGTGGAAACCATACTGTCTCCCCCTCCTTTATTTTCCAAAAGGCAGACCCTGAACCTGTTGAACTCTGTCCATAAATACTACTGAACACGGCATATATATATATATATATATATCAGTACCCTGGATATTGGAAATAAGACATTGAAGTACTATCTGTAATTACCCATTTGGCTTTGTCCAATTCTTATCTGTAACAGGCCCTTGGAAGCTAGAAAAAGGATTCCAGTCATTTGATTTCCTCAATAAAGCTGCATTTGATTACTTAGACTGTTTATGAGCTCTGCAACAGAAGTGTTCCTGTAAATGGAAAAACACAACAGTTTTTCCAGTAGACCTTTCTCATACTTAGAAAAGGTTACAAAAGCCTGCAGATAATATAATGATGTTCTCTTATTTAATTTTTTATTAATATTGTAATTAGAGATTTTAATTGTCACAGAATAACATAAATATAATTTTTTTAGGTAAATGCTTTTGTGAACCACAACTTTAAATATCCAGCCAGCTGCTGTTCCACAAGAGAGAATCCCTGTTCATTTTTATATTTTTCTCAAGATGAGTCACAGTAAATTCATTCCCAAGCTGTCTATTCAATCTCCTGTCCACACCAACTTAAAGGTCCAGTCCACAAAGCCATCATTTAAGAAGAAAGACTTACATTTGATTTCAAAAGACTCTTTGGAATCTGACTCAGAAAGCCCTACTCAAAAGATCAAGTCCCGGTCTGAGCTTGAAGATCAAATTCAGGACAATGACATGGAGCCTGACAGCCTAGAGGAGGAGAACTTGAGTGAGACTGAAGAGGAAGCAAGCAGAAAAGCAGCGCAGAGGGCCTGCGAGGAAAACCTCCACACCCAAGATGCTGGTGCAATTAATAGGTAAGGAATTGGCTTGTGTAAGAAAACAGTGGGTTCTGAGATGCACTGTTACATAATTACTGGTACTGTCTCAAGTGAAAGTAAGGACAGACTCTTGTTTGGGGATTTTTTTATTTTATAATGGATATAATTGATTTACAATGTTATATTACTTTCAGGTATGCAAAGTGATTCAGTTATAGGTATACATATATCTAATTCTTTTCTCATTCTTTTCCCATTCTTATCTTTTTTCAATATTACCAAATATTGAATAGAACTGCCTGTACTATATACAGTAGGTTCCTTGTTGATTATCTATTTTATTTATAGTAGTGTGTACATGTTAATCACAAACTCTTCCTTTATCCCTCCCCCTCAACCACCTTTCCCCTTTGGCAACCAGAAGTTCATTTTCTAAGCCTGTGAGTCTGTTTCTGAACAGGCTCTTGTAACAAGCTCCTTTGTAATGTGTGTGAGACAGATCTCCAAGCAGTTAAGGGCAGCTTGGAGCCAAGATTGTTGATAAGAATAGTTATTAACGATAAGGACATTTGTATTTCTTATGCTCCTTACTTCCTGTCCATATTCCAAGTGTCTCTACTGCTATGACCTCACCTTGGAGAAATCCCAGAAAGCCTGATCTAGAAAAGTGCCATGATCATGGACTTAGGTGTTCTTGAGTTAGTCGAGGCAATGGTGTTTAGTGTATAATTTGAAATAAGTCCCATTCAGTCTCTTGCAGTTTATTTTTTCTCTCCTGTGAAATGAGCCAGCCTGCTTCTCTCACAAGACTGCCATCACTGTCAGTGAGGTACATTGTTGGGGGGGACTTGAGACCTCTACCTGAGCCAGGAGAGGTCTACCTTCCTGGGCTTATATAATCACAGAGATTTAGTTTCTATAATCATCAGTATTTATAGTGTATTCACTCTATGCCAGAAGCTACCAAAACATCTAAGAAGATATAAATGAGTGCAATATTATTCAGTTTTAATGAAAATATAAATGGCACACTAGAGTACTGAAGTTCACAGCTATTGATTAGAAAGGGGTCTTGGGATGGTGGTAAGTTACAAAGATCTGAAGCAAACCAAGTGGTTTCAGATTCTGCCACTGACTAGTTGTGTGACCTTGGCCAAGCCCATTTAAACTCTCTGTGCCTCAGCTCCTCATCAGTGAAAATGGGATAATAATAGTAGTTATCTCGCAATTTATTGTGAGGCTAAATCAGTTTGTGTGTGTGTGTGTATATATATACATATATAAAGTGCTTCATATATATATAAAGTGCTTCAAACAGTGACTCTTAGTAAGTTATGTATGTGTTAGATTAAAAAAAAAAACACTCTACCATGTTTTTTTTTTTTTTCCAATAAACCAAAGCTGAAGGGTTGAGGAGGAGCAATGATATAAAGTCAGAAGTAGGGCTTAATTTTGTTAGCCAAGTAATAAGGGTGCATGGGATTGTAGAAAATAATGCCTTACCTTATTCTATTAAGTTTAAGGAAACAATTTTTACTAATGTGCAGTATAAACTGCTTTTATTTATTTTTTTGAATTGGAATATAGCTGCTTTACAATGTTGTATTAATTTCTCTGTACAACAAAGTGAATCAGCTATGTATACAGACATCCCCTCCTTCCCAGACCTTCTTTGTGTTAGATGTTTTTTAAATTAGGGTTAAAATAAATTGAGGAAAGTTTATTGGAAGGCTTAGAACCTGGGCAGGCAGGGTTTTGGAAACTAGGCAAGATTTGGGGAAAAAAGAACAGAATTAACACGAGTGTGTGCGGCCCACTGAGCCCCATTTGATGACAGAGGATGGTTTTTGAATGTAGGGAAATTAGAGGAGGGGCCTGCTTACAAGGGCCCCTGTGGATACCACCAGCCCATGCCACGGATATGACACTGAACACATAACTCAAATGATGTTTCCCAAGGATACACTCCTGGCGCAGGCTTTCATGAGAGCCCAGCCCTAAGTCTTTTCCCCCTTTCTTCTTTCTCTTTCACTGAAGATACTTTGTTGAATCTAGCTTGTCTGCTTCTTAGGGGCTGTCGGAGTAGTGTAAGTCCCCTACATACGAACCTTCAAGTCATGCACTTTCAAAGATATGAACATATTATAAACCCTAATAGTACAATACTATAAAGGCCATTTTGTTAGTTGGGTACCGAGGGTAACTTTGTTAGACTTACAAATAAATTGGACTTAACTGACTCTTCGAATGGAACTCATT